TTTATTTATTTATTTATTTATTTATTTATTTATTTATTTATTTATTTATTTATTTATTTGAAAAGATCTGGTGCGAAAGCTTCACACCAAGAGGCAGATTATATTCGTTATTTGGAATCCATGCACCAGCACCAATAAGGTACTTGCCTTGCCTTGCCTTGCCCATTCGTAACATATCACTAGCAATAGCCTATTAGTAACACATGAATAGCAACAGCCTATTAGTAACATACGAAAAGCCGCAATAGCTACCCTCCTTGGTTCTGGGCAATGTAAACAAGTATCAAACAGTAAGCCATTCATCTAAATTCAATCATCTACTTATATCATCTAAATATTTTTTTATTTATATTTCTTCTCTTTATAGGGTTAACGCGACTCTTCAAAACATACCAGAGTTTGCAGAAGCCTTCGGTTGTCCCTTGGGTTCTCCCATGAATCCAGAGCACAAATGCAGAATTTGGTAGTTTGATAATGAATGATGAAAGTGGGGTTTGACTATGACTATGATATAGATATTATGCCAGGTTTTGTATCATATGAGGATATTCTTCTCATTGTATGCTTTTTTACGCACTTGGTCATTTGAATAAATAAATACATATTTAAAGCAAATAAAACGCGCGCGCATGTCTCTGTAATGTGATACAAACACGCTGGGAGCTGTAGAGCATTACGTGTTGTTCTTGCTTTTCGAGTTCTCTACGTCGTTTGTACAGCTCCAAGAGTTATATCACAATACAGAGAAAATCAGTGTTTTATATTGTTTTTAATAACATATTTTTATACCATTTTGCGCAACCGTGTCTCTGTTCTCTGACATAATCCCAGTAGCCAGCCAATCAATTCAATGCGCGAATGATATCTCAACTGTTTTATAAATACATATTAAAAAGTATAAACATAAATGTTGCCAGACAAGGAGAAGGATCCTCTTTAAAAGAAATTATCACCATGTCCACATTTCAGTTGTCTATTTTGGTCGAACCACACCTTCATTGTATCCATGAATGAGCTTTAGCCACAAATTTTGATTAACTATAATGATAAATGTTGGCGGTTGAGTATTTCTGACGTAACGAGCATCAGGCGATCGAGTTGTTGTTGTATTTGTTGGTACGTACAGAGCCAAGTACGAAGTAGTCTTGGCAGCCGTCTCAGCTATTTTCAGTCCCACATCTTCACGGGCCCTCTCCACTAACGCCTTTGGAGGAGAGGGATCTGGGACCGAAACTAATGACGGATGCGAGACTCCACTTTTAGGCAGTGCCTAAATATATATTTAGTCAAATCCAACTATATTGATGGTCTATCATCAATGCAGCGTCCTGATTGGATGATATACTATTAGGCTATAAGCTATATCCTACTAACAGCGAAAAGTGCCGGCTTTCAAAATCAAATATTAAATTTAGCTTTATTAAGCCTTTTCATAGTTTAAGAATCGATTCCACTAGTACTGCGCATGCGATTTTATCCCGAATTTCTCACCTTCTTTTGTTTAATTAAGAACAAAAGAAGGTTTAGACAAAAGAAGGTAGAAATTCGGGATAAAATCGCATGCGCAGTGGAATCGATTCTTAAACTGTGAAAAGGCTTATTCAAAACTTGGTTGCATATATTCATTTGACCGACTAGTTGGTTCTGACTAAAATASGCCATTCGGGCTCGAGGACTACATGCTAAATATTACTGATGGTACCGGCTGGTGATGGTTGAGTATATAATGATGAGTATATAAATTTCCTTTTTGGAAGGTATTTTTAATGTATTTATCTATTTATTTTGTCTGAAAGGTTGACCAGAGCCTTACTACAAACAGGTGACCCACATCTGTTATGATTAATAGACAAAAGGTAATATTGATGGATCAAAAGCTTTGTTAACCAATCAGAAAGTGGATAATTGATATGGGCCTAATTATTCAGATCATACTGTTGTGTTGCTATCAAGCGACATACCATCGTTGAAAGACTTCAAACGTAGCTTTCTGCTTTCGAAACGAGCCTGGATTTTTGGCGAGCATTACAAGAAGAAGCATTATGGCTTTCAATGGAATTTTCCCAGCTTTTATTTCGTTTCTTATTTTGTTTCTAAATATCAATGAGTACAAGAGTTGCCTTGCAAAAGCTGAAACTAAACATGAAAATGAAGGAGAGGATGAATTAACTAACGTCTGGGCAGTAGAACTCGACACAAACGACGAAGAAGTCGCAAAAGAGGTTGCACGAAGCTACGGCTACGATTATGGCGGGCGAATCGGGTCTTTACCGATGCATTTTAAGTTCATAAAGAGAGATGAGGACCCTGTTGACTCTATTTTGAAAGGAGAACAAGAAGATGACGAAAGTGAATCTGATAAACACGAGGACAAGCGTATGCTGGAGAAACATCCAAGAGTAAAGTGGGTTCAACAACAACGAACCCTGATACGCGAGAAGCAAGGAAATCTCCCGTGAACATGGAAGAAAAAGAAGGAAAAACGAAAGCTGTTTCCTGTAAAGGCTAAGAGAACTTTAAGTTCGTTTTTTCATTTGGCATGCGCCATAACATCAGCTAGATTAATCTATTGTTTTGAATTACAAAACAGTTCAAAACATGTCAGATCTATGAATAAAGTTCAAAACAAATGCTACATGGACACTAAGTTCATTCTGCACGTTTTGTGATCAAAACTAGCTACTTTTAAAACACCAATAAGATAAAAACAGATGCTGTTGATTTAGTGCAGAAAAAAATAAGGTAAGCCTAAAAACATATTTACAATCAACACAATAAAAAGACAGCAATTTATAATAATATTCATGAGCAAAGGATCAACAATGCCAAAGATTCACATACCAAAATATATCTGTAACGTAAATATTTAGTATTTTAATATATAAAAAAAAAAGAGAAAAATATAATGATTATCTATATGGAACTGAAGTAAAACTCATTGCTTTTTATCACATAAAATTTCGATGCAATCATGAATATTAATGCTGATGAACACTTTAATTTGTTTAATAATCGTTTCAAAATATATTGAAGCATAATAGACCCCAATTATATTCTTATATAGAAGTATTATATGTAGAAAATATTTATTGGACGTGATGCAACGAATGATGCGTTCTTGGATTTTGCCCATATTTGTTTGTTTCCTTTTTTTCTGTGCACATTTCAATGTTTTAAATGTTTTAAATACAAAAATTCCAAAAAGAGTTATTAAAGGTTTTAGCCGGTTTTGTTGCATGTTGCATATGCTTCTTGTTCCATATGGCTTAAGAATTTAGCTTGAAATTTATTTTATTGATACGAAATAATCAATGTCAATGAACACAAAAGATATAAAGCCGGAAAAAAAACGCCCGTACAAAGCTTTATTTTTTTTTTTCAAAATTCTGTATTGTTGTGACCTTTTACTGATTGTAGTCACTTTGACCACAGTGCATTTATGGCTGGGCTTGCTACATACAACATGAAGCAAAAACCTTCATCGACATTTTTTAAATAGCTGTATATAAAAAATAAAAAAAATATCGCATGGGAAACACGTAGAGATAAGAGGAATAATGGCATGTAGAATGAGGAAGAAAGGACGATAAGAAGGGATGTCATTCTCAGTGTCAGTGGTATTACAGAATAGTCCCTTCATAGTTCTCTGCGCTATCTTGAAAGGTAGCCGTACTTTTGCATCGAAGCGAGACGAACGGTGAGCTGGCAATGATAGAGACATGTAAACAATTGCCCAAGGTGTTAAAATAGTTCTCTATCATTGTAAGCTCACCTTTCGTCTCGCTTCGATACAAAGGCACGGCTACCTTACAAGATGGCGCAGGGAACTTTTGTCTTTGTAATTTTGTTTTGACTTTGAAGACTTGAAATATAGCGATGCCTTTTAGCTATGGCCCAATAAATCACACCAGCTTCGAGTCCTCGGATGCTCAGGGCTAGCCTCATCGATTTTGTGTAGAGTTGCACGTGTTTCAATGAAAATCCGTGGAATTTCAAAATATTCGTATTGTTGAAGTTATCGCGTTGGTATTCGTGCATATACTGATACTAAACTGAGGCTCGCGTTAATCCTAAGTAAATGTGTCTGCAATAGCGCAGCGCGCTCATTCTAAAAATAGCTTAAAGATTCGGACAATCATTACATTCTGTTTAACCGCTACGAGGATTATACGAACCGATTTTATTATTTTTACTTAAAGTTACAATAATAACCCATGTAAACTAAGATCAACTGCGATCGGCTGTGAAAATTATCTGCTGAAAGTAAACTTGTAAGTTTGTTTGTCCGAATTTCGCCTTTGTCTTCGTTTTTATGACGTCACGGCTGCGCTGCGCTATTAACGCACGCAACGTTATTATACGAAATTCGAAAATGGGCTATTTCCATATCTATTAAAAAAGGTGTTTTTTTTGGTGGTGAGAGGTTCATGGGACTTCAGTAGAAGCGATTGTCAATCATCAGTTAACATTTAAACTATTGTGGAGCGTTAAAGCTTATCAATTTGACAAATGCTACTGAGTTGAAAACAAAAATTGAAGGCGTGAAATGGAAGACGGGGTCACAATAATTAAAAACAAACGATATCGTTTGCACGAATTCCCCACCCCCTCCCCCTACAAATAAAATAGTAGCTCCCCTTATTTCTAAAATCCTTTGTAGCACTATTTGCTACCACAAAACAGAAAAGATCTGCACCATCAGAAGTGATCATGCAGACGCTAGTATTCTCCCTGCCTATCAGTGTCTTAATATCTTCTTTCGTTTTAACAATTTGAACAATTGGAACAATTTGGCTTGACTGTGATCGCGTTTGGAATACAAGTGAATCGCTGAAATAGCTTGGAAGAAAAATAGTTATGTCTGTCTAATAAGGAAAAGGTGTAAAGAATTTCACTATGTGAATAAGCACAAGTTAAACTACAAAAGGGTGTAAGCGATTTCTGATATTTTGCTCCTTTAAGAAGTTAATAAATTTCAAAGTTGGATCATTGAAAAAATTCAATGTTGGTTGACGTTTTACCGCATAGATGACGAAATACGCAAAATATCAAAAATCGCTCTCACGCTTTTGTAGATTATCTTTTTTTCTTTCTCTCTTTCTTTCTTTCTATTTCTATTTTTTATTATTTCCGATTTCATTTTTTATTTGAACGTGTTGCGTAGAGAAAGTTTAAAAGCAAAGAAACCGACATACACCTGAAGGTGTCCAGAAAATCTTAATTTACGAAACGATGCAATGTAAAACATTGGAAAGCAGCTGAAAACGCTGGACTGAAAAGCATGGACTTATAGGTAGCAGATAAATAATTGCAGTCAAGGACAATTAATCGATGAGTCAGCACATCTGCAGGGAGAATGTGTTTTCCTAAAGCCTCAACTAGATCTGTCTTATGGGTCTCTTGCTCTCCCCAAAACAACACTTGCTCTCAACCATTATCTATCAACCAGGTACGCCCTCACGACCCCACCACATCACTATACCACACCACTACACCACCACACCACCACACCACTATACCACCACACCACTACACCACTACACCACTACCCCACTACCCCACNCACCACTACACCACTACACCACTACCCCACTACCCCACTACACCACTACACCACTACACCACACAAAAACACCACACAAACACAATACAACACTTGCTCTCAACCATTATCTAACAACCAGGTACGCCCTCAAGACCCCACCACACCAGTACACCACACCACTACACCACACCACTACACCACACCACTACACCACACCACTACACCACACAAACACACCAAACAAACAACCACCACACCACTACACCACACCACCACTATACCACCACACCACTACACCACACCACCACTACATCACCACTCCACTACACCACACAAACAACCACCACACTAAATAAATGAACGGACGGACGAAAAGAACAAACGGAAGAAGTACGGAAGGACGAACGAATGAATGAAGAAATGAATAATCTTTTTGCGATTCTAAGATATCGCGTGCTATGACGCACTAACGTTACTGCAATAAAATGTTTCCTAAGGGAATGTTTTATTTTTTGGTTAGGTCGATTCTTATTTAGAATTCAAAACATGCCTAGGAGCTATACTAGTGGCCATGCCAATATACGGCCAATTTAGAAATTAACATGTCCTTCACATCATTTATCCTTAAGTCCTATACTCAAACTATTTGTCATTGGAATAAAACGATAGCAACAACAACAATAAATAAATAAATAAATAAATAAAATAAATAAATAAAAAATTATACATTCTTCTTATATTTCTTAATTAAACCCTGACATTTGTTTATGAGCATCATGCAGTTGAAGACCKTTGAATATCTTTTTAGTGGAAGTACATTAATCGTAATACTTCAATAAAATTGAAATTGATAATATTTCAATTGAACTGTGTGTCAATATCTTACCACTTGCTGAGTTATCATGTTCGAAAGACTGATTATATATAAGTGCACACATGGTGTATAATAATATATGTTGACCTTGGTAAATATCATAACCGTATCATCAACTGAAAGGAAAGGTTAGTCGAGGAATTTCTTGATATTTTCAGTTATGTATTTTACATATTCATCCATCCATCCATTTGTCTTTTCATTTGTTCATTCTTCCCTTCCTTTACATTCCATATCAATATTTAATTCATTAAAATATTCAGCTTATTGTTGTCTTCTCGATCTCTTCCTTCTTATCAACTAATTCAGTTCTGTCGGGATAAAATGATATCTATTCATACTATAAGTTTAACAGTAAATGTTGAAGATTTTCATTTAGTTTGCTGGGGCGTAGGCAGTTGGACGGCAGCCAGTCTTGGTGATCGTATTTGCAATCATCTTTATGATATTCGCAATAACGATCCCACCAAACCAGTTTCCCGCCATTTCAATCTAGCTAACCATTCTCTTTCTGACTT